CTCTCTCTTTCTCTCTCTCTTTCTCTCTCTCTTTCTCTCTCTCTTTCTTTCTCTCTTTCTCTCTCGCACCCTTCGTAAAAGAGAAAGTATTGTAATCGTGCCTCAGGACCCTTGATATTGAAAACTCATTTGACGACAAAACGCCTCTGTCCGTCTGGGGTCAACGCTAGTGCCAAAACTGTTCAGCTGATTTTCTCTTAAATTGAGATTATTCGATTGATTTAAATGCACTGAAGGCCATTGGAGTTTGAAACGGATATTTTGATTTTTAGGCGTACTTTACATAAAGCCTCAAAACATTCTAATTTTTTTAAATTAAATTTTGTCCACGGATAGCGTAAGGGCGCTTAAAATAATCTTGTTCTTGCACATGCTTTGTGAAGCAGGTGCCTTTCAGTTGAGTGATTGTCAGCTGTTAGAAATCTGAGACTTTTGTTCCTGTGTTTGTGTTTTTTCTGCAGATAATGTTCTTTGCCTTGTGAAAATTGTCGGTTTTAACTGTGTTAATTTGTAGTAGTAGAGTAAAATTTCTCCTAAAAGACACCACTGAATTTCTGAAGTATCCCATTGAATAGCGAACACCTTTAAATTACGGACAATTAAAAAATCCCCTGAAGTACACGGAGTTTAATGTTAATATTACTTCTCAATTACGAGTATGGTTACTGACGGGCACGGGCAAGCACCTAGTACCTTCCCATCGCAATTAAACTTCTTAATAATGCACTGTAATAATAAAAAACCACATCAATTTGCTTGAATACTGCTCAGTATTTCGAACTGTAGTAAGAGCATTCCTACTGGTGCGCCGGAAAGAGGAGAGGGCGGGCAACACCAGCGCGAAAAGTGCTTGAAGACCTTGAGGCTCCGAATTATCTCACGCTATCAAGACAAATGACAGAAGCTGGCACTATAACCGGTTACCCCAGAAACAAATATGCCATCATTTAGATTTATTTAATTGCTCTTTAGATCTGTGTGCAATTAAAGGTGAGCCGGTTTAAGAGCTGGCACCACGACAATCTGTCGACATATATGTCGCCATGAACTATTTAATTGCTAATTAATTGTCCAAAAATTAATTTGCTCTTCAAACATCGATGTAATTAATGGCGAACTAGCTTAAGACTTAGGCTGGTACAATCAAAACAGAATACCACAAAACAAATATGTAAATATTTAGAAATGTCTGATTGCTAATTAATTGGGTAAAGAATATTGTAATTACTCTTAAAAATGTTGCGAAATTAATGGCTAGCTGGTTTAAGATTAAACTGGCATCAGCAATACAAGATATATATTTTAATTATTCCTTTTTCACAATTCTCTCACGCTTTCTTCTTGACGGCCGGACAAGTATACTGTATCTCCTTGTTTTTTTATACAAAGTGAAGCGTTTCCAGGTCTATACCGATTATTTTTGTGCGTCAGAGTTTTCGTTCTTACGGAACCCTTCGCACATGTTAGGAGCCAGAACGCCACAGCTCAGAACTACCCTATTACACGACGTTTTACAACACTACCCATAGACCGTCGAATGTGTCAATTGACGTCCTGATGGGGAGTGCAGAGAAGGCACTCCGTGTTCTCTTCATCATCTTCCATTTTATATGTCACCTTTCACTACCTTTTTCTTCCTCACTGGCTACTTATTGCTCGACGCCCACCCTTGTTTTTGCCGTGCATGACGTCCCGCATCGTAGGGAATTGGTACAGGGGTTGAAGGTTCTTTACCGTATTCACTCGCATGCTGCCTTGACGTTAGAACCTTGGGGTAGTTTCTGAGGGAGTCCGATGAGTTCTGGAGACTGCGTAAGGCAAGAAGGGAGGGGAAGAATGTCGACCTCGACAGTTTTTAAAAAGGCCGACAAGCTGACAAACTCCCGATTTTTGGTAATGTGAGACGAAGGAACTACTGGTGCTAAAACAGAAAAAAAATTATTGCGTTATTTCCAAATTGGCAATTTTCAAAAATCCATCGAGTTCAAGACGTGCGCTCTTATTTTAAGCGTTCCTTGTTCTACTTCTGGGGGGGGGGGGGATGAAAGAATTTGTGGCAGTCTTTGAGAAAATGTTATTTTTATAAATTGCGTCAATTTCAAGTACAAATTAACCCGAAACTATTGTTTTTGTCAAAAAATTGTTCATGGCCTGTTTTAAAGAGCTGATTTTTTGATCAGATTTTGCTTAAGACAAAAATCTATCTTCAATTTTGTGGTTTTTAAATTATTGCAATTTTTTGAAATTCAAACTTAAAGGCCCTTGAGTTCCTTTAAATACATTGAGGAATATCAGTTTGGGAGAAAATCGGCTGTGTTATGTTTTTTGGCGCTAGCTTTGTCCACATGCAGACGTTTTGTCGTTAATCAATTTTTCGGTATCCAGAACTCACCAAACATGGAATCTGACTATACAACGTGTTAGAGGAAGTGATTTAGTGTATACAGGAACACGATTAATCCACTTTTTCATTACCTGCATTAAGAGTTTTCTTTCGAAAATTCGCCGTTTTCCGGCGCACGATTACAATACGTAGTAAGGGCGGGAAAATAAAAACAGAAGTGCATAAACTCAATAAATCTTACGACTCTAACAAAATTGGGATGTTAAAGACAGTGATACGTCAGCTCTCTGAAGCCATTCTTTTCGAAAATAGATTAAACGAACAGGGCAATTCGAAAACTTGTAGGAAAATGCCCCCAAATATCGCGTGCCCCAAATTATGAGGTTTAAAAAGGGTTTGAATATATTTAGGAAGTAAAATGTCTTAGTTTGAAAGAAAACGGGGTCTCACAATTTTCACGGAAGCTGCTCCCTGCCTCCCCTTGCTATGCATGCATATTAAATAAATATTAATCTTTTATAGGTGTAATTGAATAGGTTAGGATAGGCGGAATAGCATGCCTAATGAATGGCCTGAGCGTGGCCATTAATAACAGGCAATTCTTCTTCTTCTTCTTCTTCTTCTTCTTCTTCTTCTTCTTCTTCTTCTTCTTCTTCTTCTTCTTCTTCTTATTATTATTATTATTATTATTATTATTATTATTATTATTATTATTATTATTATTATTATAACAAATAATATCTTTTTTTCCCCACATATTCGCATAACACACATCTCACAACCTCCTCGTCATTTCCTTTATTTCTTTATCTTATTCTCGTATAGTCTTTATCTGTTCTTAAGTTACATAGAAAAGTAATGAAATGCTCTATGTAACTGTGGAATTACATTATTTAACTTTTCTGTGAAATTGTTTGAAATACTCAATGAAAAATATCGACTCATTAATGGGGTTTCTTACGAGAACCAAAGAAGTCCAAAATTCCATGTTTTTAGATATTTCAACCAGTTATTGCCTATATAACTAGCACTATCTTCTGGGACATTTATTTTTAGCAAGTGCCAATCTCATTGAAAAATATAGAACACGAAAAATCATAAATTTATTACTATGCATGTGTAAGCTATGAAAATATTGGGTGCTTCCTGAAAAATCTCAAATTTGGACTAGTTTGGTTCGTGTAAGAAACCTGATTCATTGATTCACTTCCAGTTTAATTCTAATTTCTGTTAATAATTAATGTCATGGTTAATTTTGCTTGTAACTGTTACAATAATTGCCGTTTTCATTACAGGATCTACAGTTTCCCCTGTCGATGGTGTTGTGCCACTTGACAGTAAAATTTATTTTGGCAGGACTCTGCCGCAATATTTGGGAATGCTGCACATCCAAGGAGAGGATAGTATTACAATGGGGATCTTACATAAAAAACATTGGATTAACAGGTATTGCCGGAGGAATTGATATAGGATTATCCAACTGGGGTCTTCATCTTATTACTGTTTCCTTGTAAGTGAAGAAAATTTTATATTATAAATTGACATCCGCAAAATTATGTGCTAGAGTAAATGAGTTCCGAATTATGATGCACTTCAGCTAGAATTCTAACAAATTTTTCGAGAAAGTATATCAGCGTATTTGTTAAGTGAATGCCCTTCCACAGTTGGCTTATAGATGTAAGAATGCTCACAAGATTCTAGGAGGCACATCACATATTTTCGGGCCCTGATTTAATTTCCTAGCACATAATTATGCACAACTGTATTTTTTCCATAATTTATTAACTGTCTGGAAATGAAACATTTATTCTTTAAATGAGGGTGGCCACTATCGAAATAACTAGGAAAAGTCTTGGACAATTGTAGAATGTTTAGAAGAATTTTTAGAAGGCAATGACATATTTGAGGCAATTATATTAGAGTTCTTTAATAGATCCTTTAAATAATAATGGTACGTTATTTTTACACTTTTTTTAACTTTTGTTAATTTGTCTTTTTGCACTGTGATAGCAAAAGGAAGCATATTAGTAAAGGGGCACCTAGGTCTTGTTTAAGTTAATATTTTCTATGAATAGTGTTGAAATACTTTACAATTTTATCAGGAACAATTTGTTTAAATGTACCGTAAAATGTAGAAAATTTGTGATAGGAAGAGAGCGACCACCCTGTAGTGGTTCTAAAACTTTCTGCCCTAAACTGGCCCTTTTAAACTTTTCTTTTCGACATTTGAAATATGATGAGACTTCTTTTCGTCGATGCTGTTGACTTTCCATTCTTCTCAGCATTAGTTCATTAAACGAAAAATAAGCGAGCATTTCTGTGCGGTAGTGACGTAAATGATACATGCGAAACATTAGTAAGTAGAAAGAAACTGAATTTATTGTCCGCAGACTATATTATGAGGCAAACTAACAATTATTACGGTCCACCTCGAGGAGATTTTCGACCCTCCACGTTGAGGAGGCTGTGCTTTCGTTCCCCGATTCCGCTTCCGGAGCTATCATGAAAATCAGATGTAGCGGGCAAATTCCTCATAGACAAGAAATGAGGGTATTTTTTAGAATTTCCTTTTCGGAAGTACTATTGAATTTTTACTTGGTTTCAGACTTTTTAAAAAAGTTAAAAAGTAAAATAAATATAAAATAAAAATAGCAAAGTCAAAATAAACTGTTATAAAGGTAGTTGTATTCCATATGGTTGGAATGGATTAAAACTGGCAGGTACCGTAAAAGCCGATTTCTTTGTCCGTGCTGTTATATTGGCAATTACTTGGCCACTAGTGAAATGAGCGTACCTTCCTTCTAGATATAAAAATAAATGCTACTTCGTTTTTTGGACAAAGTAACTCGTTTTTATGGTACATTCCTCTTCATTGTTCACAAGGGCGGAATTCCTTCTAGGCAACTGTCATGGGGCTCAGCCTCAGAGGGGCGTTCCAGATGATAGTAATAAAAAAATAACGACCCCAGTAAAATGTTTAACATTTTTTAGTTCATAAATGTAAAAAAGGAATTTTTAGTTATACAGTTTTAAAAAATACACTTATTTGACTCAGAATTTATTATATTTGGATTGGTGTAATAATAATTTCAAATAAGGGAAAATTCTTAAACAACCACCATTAATGTTTAAAATTCTTTAAACATTAATATTTTGTGCTTTTATTGTCCAATTACTAAAAGAAGGGGCCTCACTCTGTTGGTTGTCTATGGGCCCTGGTTATACCTAGCAATTAGTATTTGACGCTCAACCACCATAATGTGCTATTGTGCCTTGGCCGCTAAAGAAGGCACCCATTAGGAGCGCCCGGCACGATGCAGTCCGTGCGCCGCGGCGCCGCTCGCGAGGCATCCATTACGGACGGCCCGGCTCCCAGCGTCGCTTATTCCAATAGCGATGCTGGAGGATGGAAGAATTGGTCCTTCCGAAGAAGAATTTATATTACTTGCGGAGGAAGAAGAGTGGGAACAAGACAATCTAATCGGCACAACAAAACAAATTTTGTGAACAGTGTTGGTCGGAAACCGTCAGGATATTTTCCGAAATCAATATAATCCGTTTGATTTGGCTCAACATATGACCCTATTTTTAAAGGATTACAAAAGAAAGAAAGAAAATGGTACTTTATTAGAAGCTCATACCACATTTTTCTCAGTTTCTCCCAATTTTTTTCTTTTATTTGTTCGAATATTTACAGGCCAGATCATTTATAAACATGGGAAAGGTCCTATTTTAATAAAATCGCCAATTTTTCGAAAATATCAAACGTTTAACTCGGCGTTTTATAAGATCAGGGTATAATTTTTATTAACCAATGTAGGACCACCTCCAAACATACTCATACTATCACATTAGACATAGGTCGTTTAAACCTCTACGCGTATGTAATTTGTGTGCCGGTAAATTATATATTTCCATCTCTGAATGTTGGAATAAACGACGCCTATTAACTTTGAATTTTTTTTAATTTTCCCCGTTGAGATTCGTTAGTTATTCAGTATTTGTGACTGTATTGGGACTAGGCGGAAGATGTCACTCGATAACACGCGCTTGCAAGATCGCTACAGCCTGTAATTCCTGGAACAGCACGTCAACACCTCGCAAGGCCACTCGCCGCGCCGTGCTGGCCGTCCGACTCCTCCGTGTTTCATTCTCGGGGAAGCATTCTGAGCGGGCCTAGCCGGCCGTGTACAATTGGTACAGGCGAAATATTTCGGCCGGTGCTACGCAGCCGCGCGGTCCTAATGCGCTCCCTGCTTAAGAGTGTCAAGGTCATGAATCGGCGGTAGCTATGTTCTTAAAAGTGTATTATGCTTCGGAGTAAGGTTTGGGGCCAATTCAAGTAGATTGGGGAATTTGAAAGGGCTTTCATCATTAATTCCCAGCTACGTCGCCGTGGGAGCGTCCCTCAACCCAGCGGTCCCGATGCCAGGTGAGGGTTCGCATGGACATCGCCGCCCGCCGCTGGCGTAGGAGGGGAATGTCACACGAAGGGGGGCAGAATGATGAGCAGATACACAAACGTACAAGATGGAGTTCGCGCACTCTGGAACGTTAAAGCACTGCCGATCTTCTGCGCATGCGCAGTTCACGATTCGCAACACTAGAGCATCTGCGCATGCGTAGAAGATCCATAGTGCTTTAACGTTCGAGAGTGCACAAACTCCCCAAAGAGTCCAGCGTTGTGCTAACACCACTCGATTTTTACCTCGTAAGTTCGGCTTGGGGTCTGATGCAGATGAGTGTTTTAATATGATTTTGCGGCTGTAGTATTACGAGAGCTGCTACTGCTCACATTACGAGTGAAGATGAAATTGAGCCTCCTACTCCACCGCCTCGTAGACGTGCCTCGAGGAGCAGGACGTCAGTATTCCCAGCAAAAGAATCGTTCGGGGTGTTTGGGATTTTTTCAAAATTTGGTAGATAATTCAGAAAAGACGAGAGCTGTTACTTTTTAACAAGTTCTAAAGATGGCTGTGAGAGCTTGTGACATTACCGGATCTAGTATTCTTCGGGCATTAAACGAGTAATGCTCAACGTCGACAGAAATGAGCCACAGTTCAGTACATCACGAAAACAATAAAAGGGAGAAAAACAGTGTTCAAGAAGGGTTCTATAAAGAAATAGTACGTAGGTCTGTTTTCAGTTTTTGATAGTCGGGAATAAACTGAAAAAATCCTTCATTTGGTTAAAAAAACTCAGAAAAACATTGTTCAAGATGATTTCTATAAACAAATAGTACGTAGGTCTGTTTTCAGTTTTCGATTGTCGGGAATAAACTGCAAAAACCCTTAATTTGGTTGAAAACAAAAACTTTCAGGGTTTGAAAGCTTTCGTATTGAGATTTCTAAATGGTTTAAGCTTTAGGAAAAAATATTTTTTTAAACACTCGTAGTTTCATTAATCATTTAGTTTTTAACTTTTGTTCCAAGTAATTACAAAAAATACTTCAAGTTTATGTAAAGCGAAACGTGCTTCCAAAAATGTCACCATCACACCAGCTAGACGAACAGTGTGAATTCCGGGCTATCGTCAATTTCTTCCAAATGGTGTCAAACGGGAAGGTTGACCGGCAAGTCGTAGAAGTTCCATGGAGATAAAATGAACTTCAGCAAGAGATTAAATGTACAAGGAAAGAAATGAACTTCGGCTAGATAGACAACACCGCAGTCGCTTGCTCGACCTCGAGGCTTGCAATTTCGCGATATGAATCTCCAGCACTGTTTCGAACTTTACCGAATATTCACAATCATGTAAAATGTTAAACACATCTTAATGCTTTTTAGTTCTATAGAATAATTACAAATATGAGTGAAAAGTATAAGTCCGTGAAAAGACTTGTAGAATGAAGAATGATTCCAAAATGGTCCCTTTTCCATTTAACAAAATAATATAATATTTCACCAAAAAATTCTCACACGAAGACTTCTTGCACCGACCTGGATAGCCGAGGTCGCTAAGGCTGACGAGCCGTAGCTGCCTCGTGCCCGAAGGGTCGCGGATTCGAATCCCTCCCAGGGCAAGGATGTTTGCGTGTGTCGTTACCGTTACCCAATGTTACGTACAGTGGTCGCTATATGACCTTAGCAGTTGAAAAGCGACCTTAAGTATAAAAAAAAGACTTCTTGCAAGCGAGAGTAGCGCCATATGAATGGCAGCATCCTGGGGTCAGCTTTGCGGTGGCAGTTGTTTTTCGGGTATCCCGTAGAGCGTTCTCCCAATCAGCTCATTTTCTAGGCGAAGGCACTTTCGCCAGCGACTGAATAAGTTGGCCTTCTTAGATATGAGAATATTCTCCGATGGGCGGGCGAGGAGTGGGTAGGTCCAGCGTTTTTTCAGAATATGCGGTAATAATAATATTATAATATAATAATATAATATAATAATTGTGCAATAATAAAGTACCTACTATATGAACTTCGAAAAAAAAAGTCCAATTCGTATTTCATAGATTAAATGAATTTTTCTTCTTACCCACCCAAATTTGCCCCTTCCCCCATTCCCAAGTTTCGCCTATGTAAGCCAGCTTAGACAAATAAAGTTCGCTGTTGTAGGGGGTTCAAAATGTTTTATTTCTAACTAAAATATGTTGTAAACATTTTAATTGAAGTACTTTTCTTAAACTATTTTGGGTCATTTTGCATAAATCATCAACTTAACACTTAATTTTTACAGTAATAGTAAGAGCCTGGACTTTGAAATTTTGCATTCAAAAAAATGCTAAATTGACCGAGTATGAGTGTATTAAGTGCTGGTAATGAGCTGTGATAGTCGAGCGGAACAAGTTGTACAAGTAGAACAGTTTCATTTGTTTAGCAATAACCGAGAAGGATAATCCCGAAGAAATTGCACATTTTTTTCCGATCTATTCAATTAAATTAATACCAATTTTGCCTTTGATCATTGAATAGCTTCCTTAATATCTGAGTAAGAAAGGTGATAGGTGCATAATATATCAATATTACATTGTGGCTTAATGCGTAATTTCAGCCTCCTAGATATTCCCATTACTTTACAAATTAAATTGAAAATATATTGGGTAAAAGTCCTAAAATGTTGGATTTTCAGTCTTCTCTCACAGAAAAGTACCTTCAAGAAATTCTTTCAAATATATCTCATTAGAAAGAGCAGTTTTTGAAACTTCTGAAAGAGTTATTCATCGGACGCACAGTTTGCCCCAAATGTGGTTAATATTGCAGCGATAGTGACGAAAAAAACAACAACAATTGTGCAATAAGAGCAATTCCAGAGTTTTTTTGTATTGTTTTCACAATATTGGAGTAAGAAAATTGAAATTTAGTTCATGTCTCAACAACCTGATTTACGAATGCGATTTAGGAAATTAAGTGTAAATTTGAAATTTTGCAAAAACCTCCCAAAATGGTCGATTTTCGACTCACATTTACATAAAATTGATTTTCTGAAATGATTTCAAATATATCTCAGAAAGAACACATAATGAAGTCCCATATAATAGTGGATTTGTTTGCCAACGCTGGTACAAGTACAATGACTCAGGTTAGAGACGAAGACATCGCAATAGCGGCGGGTTATTTTTAACGAACAGAATTCCATCATTTTTAATCGTTTGATGATAGGCATATGACGAATACTTATGGTCCGAGATTCCTCACGCAATGAGGTTGTCTTTGCCTCGTGAAAAAGGCTGGAAGAACAGAGAGAAAAATTTCTTTTAATTCTTTTTTCTGTCTCACACGCAGTTATATTTTAGTAATTGACTATTTTATTATAAGTAATTTTCAATGCGTAACCTTACAATAAAATTAATTGCGTTACCAACGTCACAACCCGTGAGAAGCAGGTGTTTGGACACCGAGGATAGGTTTGTTCAGATGATTTGCCTTTGATGTTTTCAACACGTGTGACCCTATACAGTCTGAAAGCATTATATACGGAAGAGCCAAAAAACTGATACACCTGCCTAATATCGTGTAGGACCCCCGCAAGCACGTAGAAATGCCGCAACACGACGTGGCATGGACTCGTCTAATGTCTGAAGAGCGCAGGAGGTAATTGACACCACGAATCATGCAGGGGTGTCCATTGACTCGTAAGAGTGCGAGGGAGTGGAGGTCTCTTCCGAAACGCACGCTGCAAGACATCCCAGGTATGCTCAATTATGTTCATGTCTGAGGATTTTGGTGCCCAGTGGTAGTGTTTAAATTCGGAAGAGGGTTCCTGGAGCCACTCTGCAGCAGTTCTGGACGTGTGAGCGCTCGCATTCTCCTGCTGGAATTGGCCAAGACCGACGGGATGCACAATGGACCTGATGGCAGGTGATCAGACGGGATGCTTACGTACGTGTCGCCTGTCACAGTCGTATCTAGACGTATCAGGAGTCCCCACTGCACACTCCATACCATCACAGAGCCTCCACCAGCTTGAACCCCCTGTACCAATGCAGGGTCCATGGACGCATGAGGTTGTTGCCGTACTCGTACACGCCCATCCGCTCAAAACAATGTGAAACGAGACTCGTCACACCAGGCAACGTGTTTCCAGTCATCAACAGACAAATAGCGGTGTTGACGGGCCCAAGCGAAATGTAAAGCTTTGTGTCATACAGTCATGGGAAGGGTAGACGAGTGAAACCCCATATCGATAATGTCTCGTTGACTGTTTCACACGCTGACACTTGTTGATGGCCCAGCATTGAAATTACAGTAATTTGCGGAAGGGTTGCACTGCTGTTGCGTGTAATGATTCTCCTTAGACGTCATCTGTATCGTTCTTGCACGATCCTTTTGCGATACGGGAGGTTTTATGTTTTACCGGATTCCCGATATTCACAGTACACTGTTGAAATGGTCGTACGGAAAAATGCAAATTTCATCGCGGTCTCGAAGATGCAGATCTCTTGCGCCGACTGCAACACCGCGTTCGCATTCATTCAAATCGCGATAACCGATCTAAGAACTGTGCCAGACGCTGGTTGTTTTATATTGCTATTGCCGATGGGAGCGCCGTATTCTGATTGGTTCCAGATCTCTTTATTTCAATACGCATGGCCGTACCAGTTTTTTTTGGCTCTTCAGTGTAAGTATTGAAAGTCACGTTTCTTCGTTTTCCTCTTCATGTATTTCGTTTCCTAGCATCTTGGACAAATATTAATGCGGAAGGAAATAATTAATCTCAGTTCTATAATAAGTTTGATTACTTTAAGAGATTAAAACGGCTTGTATCGAAATGATGAACAGTACTTGTAAAGAGAGATCACTCAGTTGTGATTATTGGAAGCGTGTAACATACTTTCGCTTGTGCATTTCTGTGCTTCTTCCTTCAAGGTTGTACATACCTATTTATAGACATGCTTTGGTCACTCTTGGCAGAAATTGTACATATGCAAAATTCTTGTATAGCTCATAATCATATGCTCTGCTGTATCAATGATACGTTTGATTATTATTAATTGTGCATGTTTATTTCTTCCAGATACACAATGACGAAATCTACAGCCATTATCTTCATACTAATTTTCACTCTTATCTTCAGATTAGAAAAAAAGGTGAATTGAGTTCAACTATTTGTTCAATTACAATATATCATTAATTTTTACTATTAAACTCTCTTCCTATATGTACGTGTAGTGTTACATTTCTATTTGTGGTATTCGGTGGAACTTTGATATCTCGAAAGTGAAGGGGAAATGAAAACAGTCGATATTTCTACAAATAGAATTTGAATGCACGGGGAGAAATAGTTCAGCCATTAAAGATAAATGAGTGGAAATTATGTTATTGATAAAACCGCTTTCTGATGTACGTTTGTCGTTAAATATGAGCATATTTTATTTTCTCCAAGTAGTGTAACGTTTCACAAAATAATAAACAGTTATGAGTGTGCCCCAAAAGGTATGGAAGGCAAATAAATGACCATACGTGCATGAACGGTCTTTGAAATTAGCAGTGTATTATAACTGTGTCATAATTTTTGCGTTTTTTGGGTGGGGGCGTGGAGAGGTGGCGCGGTGCTGTGGAATTGACACCGTTCAGGTCAGTCTCGATGGCTAGGATACTAACAAAAGAAATTGCAGGCAGTGATCAATTAACTTCACAGTACTTGCAAGAAATCCAGCAACGGCCCCAATAGATTCTTTTCTTCAGTTTTCTTGCAGGCAAAAAAAGCACTGCGGAGGTTGAAAAGTAGCACAGATGTGGAGTAATTGAGGTTATTTTTCTATTTTTAATGGTAAATTTATGCAAGTGTGTAGAGCGCCGTAGACGAAATTCGAGTTATCGAGGTTCCACGATATATACATACACACGCAGTGTTTGAGTGATGTCCTCAAATTGTTATAAGCGGCAGCACCAAAATTAGTATCGTGGCTCATGAAATGTAAATCAGAGCGAAGCTTCACTTTATTTCGCCTTCATTCTTTGGCTCAGTTCGTTTCCGTGGCTTGACACTTTCTGAAAGAAAACGGAATAATATACGGCCTGTTTACACCTTTATCCTCACTTTAGATTTGAGTTCACGATAATTCAAAGCGGATTAAGTGTGCTAATAAATAAATTAAGTAAAGAACTACGCCGTGGGTTTTGCCGAGATCCCATATATTGAATGCATGTTATAGTTTATGGTGTCATTCGAGTAAAAATGTAAGAATAATACACAATTCATTGGTGTGTGTGTATATATTTTTTATTAGTATTAAGAATAATATGAACAAAATAAGGTAATGTATGTAATTATTCTGTATACCCACAGCAAAACGAGAAAAACAAAACAATGCCGGTGTCATTTTGTTTTGCAAGCCAACTTAGTCTGTAATTCCCATTATCCACAATAAGGATCGTCAATCCCCGAAGAAACAATCTCTTCGCTGGTTCTTTGCAAAAAGACTAAATACGTTGTACGTTTTCAGATGTTTCCAATTGGTTTCGTTGTAACAAATTAATATTAAACAAAGGAAAAACTGTTTCAAAGCATATTTCCATTTGAAATTATTATAGTTACTTCAAAGTGAACGATGTGCAATTGACTAATGTTAAAAGAGCAATATTTTTCTGTCGCTCAATTCCAGTTAAACCTAAAAAACAACGTCCATTTAAATGAATTTAACCAAAAATTAATTGAATTATGTTGTTCACTCAAAATTCATACTAATTCAGCATTCATACAGATCGCTGCATATGTTTTACGAATGTACTTTTTCGCCTCAGATGTAGCTCAGAATTCTCGGGAAACACCAGGGCGTAGCTATGCTGGTCAAGGGCCGCAAGTGAGGACAACCATTAACCCCCTATGAAAATGACAAGGAGCCCAATTTCGACTTTGTGCATCGGGGCTCCTGAGAACGTAGCTACGCCTCGGAAACAGTAGTGTTAAGGCATGTAGATTACAGAAAAGAAATTGTACGAATAATAAGCAAATACCATCCACGGGATTCCGACAAGCCCCTTCATTGTTCTTGGAATCTTTACTAGTCTCTTGCCCAGTGGGAGCCAGTACGGAATTCTAGTGGTGGCCCAGTTAGTGATGCGACATCGATAGCAAAACATCGATGTTACCGAACTTCAAAATTAAAACATCAATGTTAATAAAGTATTGATCAAAAACTATCTTTGTTTTTAATATCGATGCGATGTTCTAAAAGTGGTTGAGTACACCCTGAGATAAAATTCGTTGGCAACAAAATTCAATTTTTCAGTGGCTGTGTTTATTAATTCATAATAAAGATGAAACCGAAAACAAACTAAAAATAATAAGAGCAAACAAAAATACTTAGCCAGAAAGCCTGAGCGCCCACTGTAATCTCAAGAGGTCAGTTCTCGGTCAGGTTTCGAGTTCGTCTTACGCCCAAAGGTACGCCACCTCTCAATGCGAAATCCCAGGGCATCGGGATTATCCTGAGCGAGAGATTGTCTTCTCGATGAAGATGGTGCTATGAGCGTACTCTGTGGAGCAGTACGTGAACTACTGTGCCACTTCAACTCCGTCTCGCCCATAAGAGGTGCATGCAAATCGTTCTGGATTGCCGAGTTAAATGGGCAGAGACGGAGCCATTTCGGTGTTCAGGAGTGGGCTACTGCATACGCCCTGAGTGTTTGAAGAGATTGATAGAGCATCTAATGACTAAGCGCTCGTTCAAATGAATTAGTATAAAGAAAACTATTTTTTAAGAAACGCTACTTTATACACACTTTTGTGGTGAAAAATTTATTTTACTTCCTTTTGTTGGTTGTGCTATGGCACACTGGCACTTCCCTACAAGCCGCCACTGTCTTACCTCTTTATTTACAAATTATAGTTTTGTCAAATCTGACTTACTCAATAGTGGAAACATATTCATTCAATATACTGTTGACTTGACACAGAGGAATCATTCATCCAGAGCCCGTATTAATTCACCACACCACACACACACACACTCACTCACGTATAAACAAACAAACAAACGTGAGGGTTCAGAACAAAAAGCAAATAAGCGATATTTTGTCGAAATCTGAAATAAGTATCGTTTCAGATAGTTGAGTGTGTCATCTTTCATAAGAAAAATCCTCATTTTACAATATGCTTTGAGCTGCCATTTGTGCGATCAAAATTTCGATTTAAACCTTTCGTGATGTTGAAAGAAAAAAACAGGCTAGAATATCTTCGATCGTTTGGACACCAATGTTTAAAATGATAGTGTTGAATGATTCTGATGTTCAGGGAATTGAATTCTGCTGGACCAACGGGCCGTCACTCGCCGGGGAGCCACTCCCCTGGGAACGTCCACCACAAATTCCGAATGGTTCTATATAGGACACGGCCTCAGCGGTGGAAGGAGAATGTGTTAGCCCGGGCACGTCAACCCGCGCCCGCATGAGCTACTTGCCCCTCCGTAGCGTTGTACAGCCCTTACTTTTAAATCTCGCGCCAATTTCTCTGGACGCAGTGCTCTTGAGCTCGAGTGAGCTTGTTATCTTTGCCCGCGACTTTGACATGCCTGCGGTTCGCCATGAGTCCCGTTAACAACAACAACAACAACAACAACAACAATAATAATAATAATAATAATAATAATAATAATCCGACCAAAAATGTGTACGAATCGTCTGAGAGCAGCAAACAAACCAAACGTTGTTTTTCGGGGTTTGGAGAAGAAAATGCGTGTACGATGCGTAGATGTTGCTATGCAATGCGACCAGAACATCGTCACCTAGGAGAGAGAAGTTTTAAGTGCGGGACTTTAAAAATCTAGATCAGATGGATGTTGGGTGTCTACAAAAGCTGGTTGGTAGGGAAGGTCCTTGGACCATTGCTCAGGGAAGCCACTCACCAGATGGTGAATGTTGACCTGAGAAATCCGTCACAGATCACACTTAATCCATCCATCACCGCTAACGTTGCTGAATTCGCTCTTCACTAGCATCCTCCCTCAGACCAAGCTTCTGACCGTGCGGGGAGTATGGCCGACTGAAGAGTGCGGGTCGCTCCCCTAGGTCAAGCATCAGGAAACATCTCGCAGTCGGTCGGGCGTTGGGCAGCGGCTAGTTTCTCGGAGCCGCTGTGCAGAAGATGCAAATGTGCCTTTGGCGATGATGGCCAAACGTCAAATCAAGAGTTTTCAAACTTAATTTATATGGGTACGTAGTGTATTGTAATAGTTTACGAACTAAAGTTTTAGGTGTTTATTAGGTATCAAATTACTAGCGTCAAGCGGCAGGTGTGCATAAGTCGTACACATTGGCAAGGCTGCTCAACCGCTGTCTCACAAATATATGTGTCATTCTACGTCAAATCGTTCACTGACGAAACATCACTATTTTTTAACGGCTTGAAACTTTGACACTCTCTTCTTCTCGGACTTGAGGCTTAGAGTTGAAAAGAGGTGACACTTTTTTTTCTAATCCCACCCCTTTCAGAAATATTACCAATTATTTTTTCCGAAAAATCATGCGCTCGCTGATGTTTTATTTTTTGCGAAAATACCTTAAAACTTTCAATTTCAAAGAGGGACACAAATAAATACCATTTAAAAAAATTGTTTGTTCACCGGAGCACGTAGGCAGCCCGCTGCCCGCCGGACTCTCTTTACTTGAACTAATGGAGTGTCAATGACACGAAGCATCGTGACGTCCAACGTAAAGCAACCGTGAGATTCATGCTATGAATAACTGAAACACACATACGATCTCTAATGGAAGTCTTCTGACGAAATGCAACTATTAAGTTTATTTATAAACAACTGACCTGCCTGAAACAGGACAGCTTTCTTTCTCAGATATACTGAGACATTTGGGTAAATAGAGGAATTCGCGAAATGTGTGTTGTTCTGTGAAGTTAGTAACCATATATAGGCTTACAATAATATCAATACTAATGTTATTTTCATTTTTTAATATGAAAATCTATAATTACTGAAGACGTGTAGGTTGTAACAACGAGCATTCTTGATAAGTTGAAAATTGGTTGCCGTTAAATAAGCAATGTTTATTGGAAAAACTGGTTTTTTAAATTTCTTCTTGTGACGAGTCAAATAAAGTTGTTTCAAGAAAGTGCGAATCGACCATACTCGTTAATACCGCAATTATGTTGGGCAGTGACAATGATGAATAAACGTGCTGGTCCTGGTCACCCTAACGTATCACCTGATACGAGTTATAAAGAAACTCACCGAGTAAGTTCGCCTTCTGTTTCTTTTGCTGTCTTTTGCCATCATCAAAAAAAAAAAAAAATAAATTTGACGCTCGGCGTTTTCTTAGTCCAGTGTGAGTTTTTTAGAAAATTATTCTTTCGTACTTGAAGATGTAATTCAGAGACTGCTGTGAATTAATGTCTGTGCTACTCTGCATCCTTTTGTACTATACTTCAGAGAAAGCAAAGAATCTAAAAAAAATCATTTTCTGGATGCCTGAAACACGCCACGAATTTAATTCACACTTTTCAACGTAAACATAACACTTCTTAAGTAAGATCATGACACTGCTAACAGATTTTTCGGATGGGGTCAGTACTTAGTATTACAAAACAATGCGAGTTTTATGCTTCCACAAAGATGCTTTCAATGTGAGTGCTGAATGACATTCCTTTGCTTCTTATGGAAAGGGTCCATGCGACTTAGAGAGGGGGTAACTATAATATTCTCGATAAAAGGTAGCCTTCCATTCTGACAGGATCCTATTAATTTACTCAGGAAGGTATTTAAGTGGGCTGATGATAATGTGAAGATCATTACCTTTATATTTTTAGCAACGCTGAACAATACTTAGAAAGATAACTATTGCAACAAAGATACAATAAAAAACAGCGGAAGGCACAAAGGAAACACATAATTTCATTTCTGTATGAAAAGGTGAATTAACGATATTCTCTGTAAAGTGAAGTAATATAAATATCAACGTAATTTACTATATCACATTGTCTTAACCGTGTACATATTTCGTCCGTTTAATACTAAATTGAATCCGCTTGACACTTTTTTTATTTCTAATTTAATTGGCTATGAAGTTCATGTGAATGTATATGGCACGTAGTAAGACGTGAAGGGATACTTCTAGTTATTGCTCTGTGAAAGTATATTGATGGTAATCGTCTACTGCTGAGAGGTGATGCTCTAGCAGACGCTGCAACAAAACTGCAAGTTGACATTTCTATTGTATTTAATTTCTCACAATTATCGCTATGTCCCACTTTGTAACTTACCAAGCTTATGTAGAACTGTTCAGAGAGGTCAATGTTTGTTTGTTGTTGTTTTTTCGAATTTTTAAACTGTTGAGTTTTAGGAGAAATTAATAATAATAAAAATAAAATAGATCAAACATTTTTTTAATTTGATGAATTCAACATACACATCAAAGGAAAGAGCATAATGCAAAGTTATTTAATATCGCAAAGTATTAAATTTATGTCAATTACAGCACGAGTTAAAAATTCACTGTAGCGACCAGAGCTTTTTTCGAAAATTTTGAAACTTTATATTTTCACGAAAAAAAATATTTGGGAAAAATGAAAAACACGTGTTTCATGTATTTGCTTATATTCTTCAGAGAAAAAAGTTTTAAACTGGGGCATCAAGGTAAATTTTTCTTTAAATTTGTGCGATTTGATGTGGAATGACCCCACATTCTATTCTTCCGAACTAATTATATCACTTCCAAAATCAGTAATTATAAATGGCGTATTTGAGTTTTGCTTTGAAGTGTATTTTGTTACAGAACGGGTTCCTTCAAATTATATATCTGAAGAGGACCCCGATTTTATTGAGAGGGGGCGGAGATCCTTATTCGAGGCGCTTCGTGGGTCGCGGTGCGGTGCCCCTGGCGTTAGTGGACCCTCGTTAATTGATACCTTGTTGAGTGGTTCCGTTAATATTTCTATCCCAACGCAACGACAGACGTTTTCGAGCGTATCTGAAGAAGTGTGGAAGGCAAAAATCAACTGTATATTCCGAAGTCTATTTATATATTATTCTGCGTTTGACACCCATAGGCTCAGCTTGTCGACAGCAAATGGCTTTATGTTGACTGAAATCAGGAAGGTGGATATTGATTTAGATGAGGCCTAGATCAGCATTCACTGCTTTGTTGGTAAAGCGTATAGTATACTTTAAGGAATATTGTTTCGTCTAGTAAAGTATTGGAGATTAACTTGGCGTATTCCTAAACATTTAAAAAATACATTTTCACAACTCCCGGGAGTATTGGGAAAAACAAATTGTCCTAATTGTAAAATGGTTCGTTGTTCCAATGATCATTAAATTTTTGACGTGTGAAATGATTAACGACGAGTGTCGGAATGACGTTTTTGAATATTTATTATAATTGCTAAAGTCAATAAAAAGGACAAGTACTTTTATTTTTTAATTCCCCTCTGCAACTACAAATCTTTTATTGCAGATGATTGAAGTAATCTTATTTAAATTCACTGATTTAATATTTGTTATAAAAGAAATTGTAGATTAGACGTTTAAGAGAGAATGTTCTACCTTGGATAATATTTACATTTTTTGTTTGTTTTGTGAGAAAATGTATTTGTTTAGATAAGAAAATACATACAAAACACAAATATTTTCTTTTCTTTATAAATGACAATTTTCCCCCATAAGACAATGGCGTATATACCAGGGACTTCTGAAGTACCATGGACAATAATTTATAAATGCTTTTCGAAACTTGTATGAACAAATAATCAGTTTTTAAAGTCGTAGGATCAGTTATTACATAATATAAAAAATACTCGTAAACACAAATGAAGCAATATATTAACAAATTTAATCAATTGTAAATATTACTAATTCATTGCCTCCAACTCGGCCGAAGCTCTTCTGGAAACTAGGTTCGGGGGATTAATGCAACCTAGAATATCTATGACTTTTATGTAACGTAATGTAATGCCGTAAACTTAGCAGTAAAATTTACACGAGAAAAACAAGCATTCACAATTACAAACGTAAGTTTCCCCTGAGCCAATCATATTTCAACGTATTGAAGCTTGATCGATAGTCGAATCGTTTGTAGAAAGATCTTTTCACTATGGTTTCTAGGTTTTTCTTCGACTTTCCTATCGATTTGACTTTATATACAAATGTGTAACTGTTGTATTAGTGCTCGCGTTTCCTTTATTTTTATAAACAAGTATTCTCTTGAGGTAAATTCGCGAGTAATTCGTCGAACTTAATTATTTTATTTGCCACGTCAAGTTTAAGTCACAAGAAAATGGACCAAATTCTTACTTTGAATTCACTACTCGCATCACAACCGTTCGCAAACTAGTTCAGTACGTAACAGTAATGAAATGACATAACCACAAACTACCTGAACACAATCTTAAATCAACCATGTTTGTTTCTTTTGTGCTGCTCTGCGATTGGTCTTCGGTATAATTCCCGCGTAAACTTATCGTAAAAGCTTGGTGCTCGTGAACTCATAAGTTTAGGGCTTTACATCTACGGTTACGTCCAAGCATTGTGGATGGTCTCGCTTAATAACTCATTTCTACGTTTTGCGGTTACGTTATGTTAACGTTTAAGTTTGCCTTGTGAATGAGGTAAGGCAATTATGGATAACGATATGGATAACCGGGTCGCAGTTGACTGGTTCCACAGTCAATCCTAGAATTTCTTTATTCAGAGTATTCATCTCTTGGACGCTTTGAACCACCTTCTTAACAACTATGTATTGCCTTATTCTTCTTTTTTATTCTGTATGCGTACCACACTAATACCATAAAACTATTATTCAAATCAAACCCAAATATCTTTGTATAATTTGTTTACTAAGATTGAGTATTTCTTTTCCCTTTCAGTTAAATTGTCCTTTTACGTATCTTAATGCTTGACTGAATTAGAGGGACAACATTAATATCAACTGCGTTTTATGTAGAGTTATTGCGTGCAGTCATGTTGCATTTCATTCAATTAAAAGCATACAAATGTTTTTCGTTTTTGAGAACATGGGATTTGGAGGTACAGCCACGACGGTACCATGGGTTTTGCTTTTCAAGTCCGCCATATGCACGCCGCAGGCGACTTGTCTGGTTTCGGAAAAAACGTAAAGATGTGATGCGTGAAGAATTCTCTGTCAGTGACAAGAAATATCTTTCGACAAATGTAACCCAGTTCGTTGCAGGAAGTTGTATTTCCATGACACAAATACAGAACTGGAGAGAGAAAAATGCAGATAAAGAATTGGACACCTTTAGTTATTTCAATTTTTAAACGACTTTATTTGAATGTGGGACTGTGCATCTCCGTACGAATTCATTGCTTTTTGTCGTTACTCCAGTTGTAGTCTAGTTCGAAACTGCGTAACTCTAAAGATTATAGCATTAGGTCGTCTTAAGAAATGAATGGAAGGTTTTCTAATAACTTTGTTTCGAAGTGATACAAAAGTATTAATTGCCTTGGAAACAATCGAACTTAATTACATGTGTGTGTAAAAGAAAAATCGAAAATTACGAGTTAACTTTGTAGAAAAGTTGACATTTGTTTCACTATAAGTTTTAGTTACCCATCTACCCAGTTTTGATCTGGTTGATTAGTTTTTACTATGAAATATCTAAAATGGAAAATAACTACTTGTAATTGTCGATGTGCTTTGTAATTGTTTTAAAATTTGCATCTTGTGCCTTTTTCAGTCCTGGTCATTGATATTTGTGGTATTGATGATATCAGTTGGATTGTTTTTGACTACCTACAAAGCTACTGAATTCAATCTCGAAGGATTTCTTCTGATACTTGGTGCCTCATTTGCAAGGTTGGTAATAGAAAAAAATATATTTTGCATGATCACTTAGTACAAACTAATACTAGACCTCACTAAGAATGGCACTGATATACTATCTCGTTGAGAATAGATAGGGGACACTTTCTTCGCCTAGATATTCCATGCACAACATTATCGTACGTTGACAATAATTTCTGCTAGATTATCCTTTATCCTTACAAAGTATCAAAATTACATGACGCCATTAGCGTTTTGCCGCTGAAAAGTTAATTCATTAAAATATTTAGTTTATTAATTATTATTGAGCGTGCACTTCGAGCTGATGGTTTCGCCAGTTTTATTTCTTAGACGCAGGCCGGACAGTGCAATGGGAAATCTTTGCAGTAGACACTGAGAGCTCAGTCAACCCTCCTACATGGTTTCCGTGGTTAACCGTGAAAAAAATAAATAAGAAAGTCAAGTGACGGGAAAAAAATTGTGTACTAGTACGCTGATGGTGAAAAATTGTAAAAAACTATTGTTCTGTGCCCAAGTGTACACTTATTTACTTCCTCCTCTTACTTCGTAAGTTTGTAATCGTGCGCCGAAAAAAAAGTGAGTTTCCGCCGAAGAATTCTTCGTGCCTGGCCCTAGTAATGAAAAAGTGTATAACTCTAGTTCCTATATTTAGTAAAGTACTTCCCATGACACATTGTGTATTCAGAGTTCATGTTTTGTGGGTCGTTGACACCAACAAATCGATTGACGGCAAAACACTTGTCTCTCTGTCCGTCTGTCGTTAGCGCCTAAGCCGTTCAGCCTATTTTCTCCGAAATTAATACTAATCCCCGATCAATTTAAAGGAACTCGTGCCCTGGAAGTTTGAAGCGGATATTTTAATTTTGAGGGCACTTCATATGAAGCCTCAATTACATTTTCAAAACGTTCTCAGATTTGGCTCCATAGTGTTTGATTAAACTTCATCCTCCGATAGCGTAAAGGACGCTTAAAAAAGAATAGCGTTGTTCTAATTTTCAATGAAATCCCAGATTGTTCGAAAATTTCAGAAGTTCAAAGTTTTTTTCGGCATTTTTTCTTTCCTGTATACGTACGTATATACGTAGTAGGTATAAGGAAAGTTGTAATGCTGCGGAAAATCTATTACGATATTCCAACGGAAATAAACGTTGTGGGGTACTCAGATACCATAAAAGTTTTTTTTCTTCTTTTTTTCCCTCCAAAACGTCTGTCTCTCAGGTGTATATGTGAACAATACTAGCGCCTAACCCATGCGTAAGATTTTTTGAAATTGAAGAAACGCCTGTCCATTTAACCTGAGTCGAAGCCCTGCAATTTTAAAAATCAATCATTAGTTTTTGGGGGTACTCTACCTGAAGCCATGGGGACATTTTCAGAATTTTCTCAAAGGGGATCCAATTTATTTCTTTAAATTTCTAATAAGAATAGAGTAACATACACTAGTAGCATAGGAGTATTTTTAACTCTGAATTTTCGAAAATTTGAAAAGTATGAATTTTTTTCGATGCCCTTGTACAACTACAAAATTAAAGACAGATTTTTCCTTCAAATGAAATTTATTGTCCATAATTAGTTATTTTATTATGATCATGTACATGTTTGAAACGTTCAGTAGTTTTCGAACAATGTTCCATGCAATATTTACAATTTTTTTAAAAAACTAACAAAGAAATTTTCTCAAAAACTGCTTCAAATTGTTTCTGTTAATTTTTGGTAGGAATAGTACTAAATTCACTCTATAAAATGACATGAACACCATAGTGCTCTATTCTTTTGTTTCTTCAAAAATTACAAAAATGTTTTTTTTATGACATCTCTCACGTTAATAATTTCATTAGCGGCAATTTCTTTACATTAATTTATTTATGACTTCTTGTGCTTTAAATAATGTCAGCTAAAGTTTCCCCCAAAACGGCAGTTTTTCATGAAAATGAGCCCAAAATTTCGAATTTCCGAAACGATCAAACGCCATTTTCTGAAAAACTGCTCAAATTTTCCTTCACACTTTTCCAAGAGATAGTGCTAATTGCGCTGTTTATGGTCACATGGAAATTATTTTCCTGTATCCTCGTGTGTGTTTTTGTTGTTGTTTTGTTTTTGCTCAAAAACTAAACTAATGTATTGTTTTTGAAATATCTCTCACGCTTTTCATACTCATATTTCCAGCGATTTGTAAAGACTATCGCATTTGTGACTGAAAGTACTTGAAATAACGTCATATGAAGTTTTCGTAAACCCAATAGTTTTCTGTGAAATGAGGTTCAAATTTGGAATTTACAGTAGCTCTTAAATGCTATTTTCTTAAAAACGTCTTCAAATTTTTCAAAGAAAATTGCCAATTAGGACGTGGTTTTATTGTCCTTTAATATTCTTAAAATGATATTTTCTACTATTAGGAAACCAAGGAATAAAGAAAATGTCAAACAAATGTACTTATGCGGCGATATATGGCAGTGGGCAAATTCGTATACCTAGCCGAGACCAAAGGAAATAAAAACCTAATATGGGAAAGTCTGTGCCATCCTGTAGCACCACTAGTTCTACAACTACAGGGAATTTTCTTTAGTAAAATCTGTTTGTTTGAGACAGATCTTGAAATTACATCACGTACATATATTGCATTGATTAGTGTATTTTTCGAAAGAATTAGTAGTTTTCGCGTAATTTTGGCTGAAATTCAGGCAATTTTAAAATATTTACTTTTTCTAAAATGGCTTCAAGTTTTTAATTTTCTTACGTATGTATCAAAGATCGGTAAACAAGTGCTCGTCCTATTTCCGTCAAACTCTGTTTTGAAAAATTGCAAAAAGTTAACATTTCAAAATTACAAATTTGAAAATAAAGACTTTTATCTTTAATGAAATCTGCTCTAATAATCAGATCTTTAGAAAAAGTCATTTACAATTTTCGAAAAACACTAGTAGTTTTCACGTAATTTCTGCTTGAAGTTAACGCAAATTATAAAAAACGGCTCTTTTTTATGAATAGAACAAGAAACTTTTAAAAGAATGGCGCAAATCTTCTTTTCGTTGAACTCTGAATTTTCGAAAACTGTGTAAGAAATAATTCGAGTAATATGTGATGTTTTGACCTTGGAATTTTATGCACAAAAAAAGTAATGATTTAGGCAACTGATATAGATAAAAAATACGAAATTAGGCACTATTAGCATCAAAAAGTGACGTTTTTGATATTAAAAATAGGGTATAACGTGACTACACCAGGCAAAAGTAGTGGTGCTACAAAATGGCAAAAACTTTCTCATATTAGTTTTCTATTTCCTTTTGGGCTCAGCTAGCTACTTGGACTTGCCACGTACTTTTGCGAACTGCTATCTATCACCGCCCAAACTACATTTTTTAAAATGTTCTTTATTTTTCGGTTTCCTAATAGAACGGAAATATTTATTTTAAGAATATTAAAGAACAGTAAAACCTCGTTCTAAATAGCAATTTTCTTTGAAACATTTTGAACCACTTTTAAAAAACTTCTGTTCAAGCGCTACTATATATTCGAAATTTGGAGCTCATTCTACAGAAAATTGCTGGAAATGTGCAAATTGACAGCGTGAGAGATCTTCCAAATAAATTACATTTGTTCGATTCAGGATTTGTTTTGTTTTTTCAATAGTTATTTTGAAACAAAAAAATCCCGAAATGAGCATTACGTCATATAAATAGTGCAATTAGCACTATCCATTTGAAAAGTTGGAAGGAAAAATTTGGAGGCATTTTTCAGAAAATGGCGTTTTAGCATTTCTGAAAATGCGGAATTTTGAGCTAGATTTTACAGAAAACGGTTGTGAACAAATATGCGAAATAACGTGCACAAATTGCCGCTAAAATAAATGTTAACGACATGAGAGTTGCACATATTGATCAAAATATTGCCCAATAACTACTAAAACGTTCAGAAACATGTATATGACCTTAATGAAAGAACTCAATATGGAGATCAAATTTTATTTGAAGGAAAAATATCTGTCTTCACTTTGTAGTTGTGAGAAGTCGCCCGAAAAATTTTGAAATTTTCGAAAATTCAGAGTTAACCGTGAGAATCGGTCGTATACCATTTTTTGAGTGTATTTTACTCTATCGGTACAGATATTTGAAGAAAAAATTTGGAGCTATTTTTGAGAAAATTTTGAAAATATCCGTGGGGCTTCATGTGAAGTACCCCCAAATTTTAAAGATTTTTTTTTTCAAAATCTCAAAGGTTCGACTCGGGCCAAATCGACATGGGTTTCTTCAATTTGAAAAAAAAAGCTTACTATGGTTTAGGTTGTTCACAAACAGACGTTTTGAAAAAAAAATAATTTTTCGGTATTATGGGACCCCAAAAGTGTACTTCCGTTGAAATCTCGAAATTGATTTTCCGTAGCACTACATAATTTTCCCTATTCTACGTATAAGCAAACTGTCAACAGCGCAGCTGCAACAGGAATTGGGGCAATTGCCTAAGAAGTCTAATAAGAGACGTGAAACATCATCTCTATGTTGATTTGCAGAGCATCTTGATTTCCGTGCGTAGTTGATTGCCTATTCGATCAGATAATATTTGCGTTTCGACAAATTCGGGAAACTGTTGCGTTACAAAAATATCAAAAATTAGTAGCCCGATTAAAAAATTATAATTCTTCAAAATTCCTTTTTTACGCAGTTGCAGGCAAAAATATATTAAAACAGGCATCAACCGCTTTTTTAGGACATTTTAGGTATTATTAGATGCTTACAGTAAATCTATTTTTTCATGGTTCGATGAAATCTGCCATCCTAAAAGAACCAAATAGGCGCTTGTCCTAAAATCTATCTAGTGATGTTATATCTCCACTAGATTTCATAAGACTTCAAAATTGAAGATAGGGATTTTTGTCTTTAATGACAGGTGGATTTTATCGCGTGGAACTGTTTTAGATATGAACTGGGGAGTTGTTTAGGGAGTTGCACAATCTAAGGTATGTTATGTGCCTTAGAAGTTTTCTGGGGAAATCAGGATTTCGAGGGGTTCTCACAGGGCTGGGGAGTTCGTTAAGCTTTGCCAAGAGGGTAGAAACGGATACGCGGGGGATGGGTAATAGATGGTCTGTATATATTTTATGCCCGGTTCATGTAAAGTACCAATAAATATTAATACATCCAATTGAAACTCGCAGTACCGGAGTTCCTTCAAATATATCGAGAAATATGAATTTCAGAGAATATCGTCTTAACAGTTTAGACGCTAGTGTTGATCTCGGACTGAAGGACGAACTAAAAGGGAAAGACTAGGAAAAGCATTTATCCACTTTGGCAATACAAATGCCCCGAATTAAGAGATTTCAGAATTCGCAGATTTTTTTTCTCGAAGCGTTACAATATTACGGAAGTAGTGGTATGTCGTGAAAAAAAAATTAATGAATGAATGCTTTGTGCAAAGTTTTAAGAAACCTGCGTTGTTGTATGGGTAAGCTCCAATGTGAAGCTCAACGTGGTATCAATATAGTTATTTATGTATCAAAAGACGAAAAATGAGTGATTTTGAATGAGGTGTTTACCAACTAAAATGGTGCTTTGCCTATCCTATGTGGTAAAAAGGGCAATCCAAAATCATTTATTTTTGGCCCCAGGTGATTACAACGATTTTTTTTCTTATTTCACCTCCCACTCTTCGAGGTTTACGAACTCTCTTAAACCACCCGTTTTCGTCGCAAAAGTACAGATGTTCTTATGTATTTTCATCTCTAAATTTGTCATTCTGTATTCTAAGAATAATAATAAATATAATTTATAAAAGTTTCAACATTGATTTGTTTACATTAACTTGAATTACGTCACCATATTAATCGACAAATCACGTTAATTCAACAAATGCATCATATATGGTTAATATAGTAAATATTTTCCATTTTGATGGTCAATATAGTCCCTCTATAGACACAGTTATGCCACAGAAATAATTTAACGTCTGGCATGGTTCCAGTTTGGTCATCCCTGGCCTTTCAACGTTCGTAGAAGTTAAGAAAGCCAAATAATGATTTTTTGTTGAAAGTTTCGCCGCCAAGTTGTGACGTTGATTGCCTGCGAGTAAATATTCCTGTTGCAAATAATAAACTTCAGCTTCTGAATCTATGACCCATATCTCAATTTTGTTTTTCGTCCAGTTTCCGTGACCCCATTGAGCAAGTGCTGAGATGACCCCTTGTTTTGCTTCTGGTTATAAATCTACCTTCACTATGCGCACATTTTTGAGATCTGTTTTATTGCAAGTTGTGATAGGAGTAGTCAGGGGTGTAAATTGCTATTTTGTTAGAAAAACTATAAAATCAAATCTGTAGTTCGTTTACCGATGCAAATAAATTGTCTATTACCTGGGAGTGAAAAATGTCTAATTTTGAAATTTTGCTAATCTCGCTTTGTTGGTGCTTATATTCATCATTCAACTATGTATAGTAAAATGATGAAGACATCTTGTAGCTCAAGAAAACGTACTTAGAATATACTTCTCCCCATTTAACACGCACAGTTTTTATTGTTCTTTGATGAAAATAAATTAATATTAATTAAAGACCACTCGCCTAACATCGATATACAGGAATTACCAATTGTTTTGTTTCATTAAACGGCACCTAGTCCTTCCAGGTTCATTAAACAGCAACCTAGTCCGACATTACGCGAACCGTCTCTGACACAAACGCACGCATGAAAGAAACTTACAGCCAAGTCGGAAATAGAGAATTTTTGGACTGTCTTACCCATTTAAAGAAGTTTTTCACAATTTTGCAAACCGATTTTCGTCATAATGCGTGTGCATACTTAAATGTTACACTTAATGTCACACAAATATTTCGTGCCAAATTTCACGTAAGTTCATCTTATTAAACGTCTTATCTTACCTATTGATTTGTTGATATATACTTCAAATATGAAAACCTACCGTATATTTGATGTACTTTCTTTACAGCGGCCTACGGTGGACACTTGCGCAGCTTATGATGCAAAAATCAAAGCTTGGCTTATCAAATCCTCTGGACATGCTTTATCATATGCAGCCATGGATGATGTGGCCGCTGTTACCTCTAGCAATTGCGTTTGAAGGTAGGTCTACGATATTTAATTTTTGAATCGACTCGAACTGAATTGAAAGGGAAGATTGCGTTGCACTCCTACCATGGTGGAAACATGATCTTTCTACCATGATTTCTACATATTAAATGCAGAGATATTTTTTTATTTATATTATTTTTATCATAAAAATATGGTGTTACGAAAAGTATTGAACGACACTGCCGATAACACAAATAACAGTGTTGGTTGGTTATTTTGTCTATCGGCCTATTTATGTTAATAATTATAATCATGTGTATGTTCATAAAAGTACTTGACTTTCCTTTTTTTACAGCTACGCCTTTGATCACAAGCTGCCGGGTTTTCAGGTATGCTGAGTTTCACGTAATACTTGAAACAATTGGAAAAGTCTTGCTGGGGTCTGTTGTTGCTTTTGCAATGGAAGTTGCAGAGTTTTTGGTGGTGAGCTACACATCTAGTCTGACACTGTCTGTCGCTGGTGTATGTAAGGTATGTATGGAAAATAAACCATCACTTGGAAATGTCAGAATGTTGTTGTTAAGGCCTTTGTCGCTGCTACCTCATATTAACTTTCTAAAATATATCTACAGTAAACCACATCAATATTAATAATTAAAGTATTATTTAAGTAATATTCATGTAATTCATGAGTAATATTAGAGTACCGTTCAGAGTGACAATTCTTTGAACAAAATTATTAAAATACATTTGTCATTCAGTAACAAGGTCACAACTGGAATTTCTTTACTGTTGCGGAACATGTAATTGCCTCCAAAAAGGGTGACAGGGTCGCGACAATTAAATAAATAAAAGTATTGGTAGCAATATTCAGCTTTCAAGCTCTTCAGAAGTTGAATTTATAGATATTTCTTGCTTGGGATTGATAGTGAATGGATATTATCTTCAGTGCATGGTTTGTGATTGTTTTCAAGCATTGTTAATAATTTATTGATATTAATGTAATCTGTTGTCTCATTTCAGGATATTTTTACATTGATATTGGCGGTCGAATGGGCTGGCGATCCAATGAATTTAATGAAACTTTTTGGACTCGTATTGTGTTTAAGTGGTATTTCTTGTCATTCGTATCAAAAAGCCATTGATATGCGCCGTAACCAGAAAAATATAACAGCAGAAGTGACAGAGGATCAATGTGATGTAAACATTCCATTATTAACAAAAGCATCACTCTCTGAAGCTTTAATTCCAGAATGGGATAATGATGAGAGTGATGATTCTGCAGTACTATTTAATATGTTACATGAAGCTGGGGAGAGATAGTATGCGTGGTGGTGAGTGGTATGATTGCATAGCGGATTCTGAAAATGCAACATGGGGACTTTTGCTCCCTCCTGGAGTGCACTGTTTGACTGATGTTCGACCATATAATTTTGTTGCTCTGTTCAAATATTATATGAATTGCTGTATATGTATTTTGTAATAAAGAAAACTTTTTTCTATTTATTAAAGAATTTTTAACGTGTTTCATTTAAATTGAATTTTAACACTATAGTTATATCTATAAATACAAGGGAATGTGCATATGTGTGTCGTATATAGACGCAAAAACCACCTGACCGATTTCACAAAAAGTTTCATGCTTTGCTCTTATTAGTAAGAGTGGTTTGAATTAAATCGGACATATGGGGGCGTTTCTTATAATTTATTCGTTTATGACGATTCAAGCGCCCCTGAACTTCGCATCCTGCCGCACAGTCGAGGATTAAGCGTGTATTCAGTGCATACAAGTATTCTGCCCCTGCGATTGTAGTATACAAGGTACGATCAAAAAGTAGTAGGGCTGGTTTTCGGTAGGACAGTCAAACTGACGGAGGGGAGTTCGACTGGGTGGTAGTGACGGGGGACCCTTAGGAACAGAACGCGACCTTTCTCAGTTGCCTGCGTGCCATTGGAGAGTGAGCACACTGTTTGCCGTGAACCATTGCAAAGGAGTGTCGTCACGCTCAGAATGGAACGGAATCTCGAGCAGCGCTACAGCAGTGAAGTTTTCTTGCAAACTTGGGGGGGGGGGGAAACCGCCCCCGAAAACCGACATGATCAAGCAGTCCTAAGGGGGTGCTACCATGAGCCGCTCAAGTGTTTTTGAGAGGCACACGTTCCGGGAGAGGACGGAGCTCATCGAGGATGATAAACGCGTGCCAATCGCCCGTCAACACCAGCGGCGAAGAAAATGTGACAAAAGTGAAACAATGTCTCGACTTTGAACGTCGGTTACTCCCTGAACAAACCGTGAATGCACAGGTTTACGCGGAAGTGGTCGGTCGATTGCGAAAAGACCACGTGCGACCAGACATCGCCCAGCCGTGGAAGCTCCACCACGACTCAGTGCCTGGCTGCACCGCGCTGCTGGTGCGGGAGCGGCTGGCTCAGAACGGCATTGCCACGTTGCCACGCGCATCCTTCAGTCCAGATGTGGCTCCACCTGAAGTCTTCCTGTTTTCTCGTCTGAAAGGGGCCATGAAGGGACAACTTTTGTCTCCATCGAAGACGTCCAAGCGGTTGTAACGCGGAGCCTCGACAGCATTCCAGAAGGCGTTCGCGAATTGGACGCGTTATATTCGGTGTGTCGAAGCCAAGGGTCCGATTTCGAAGATTATAAAGGATTGGTACAGATACGTGCAATACATTATCTATAATATAAAAATGAATCGCAAAATGTGTTGGTAAGCGCATAACTCAACAACGCCTGGACCAATGATTGGGCAATTCTTTTTTAAAAATGACTGTTGAAGTTCAAGGATGGTTTTTACGTCGAGAAAAATTCGAATAATTGCCGAAAAAACCTAAAAAACAGCCCTTTTCTTTTTTCCCATACAAACGTTTTCTAACTAAAACGTCGAGTCAATTTGAGCTTTATAGCTATTGTATAAAGCACCATTGTTGTTTAAACAATGTAGTTATGTTCCTAAAGTCAAAGAGTCAATTTCACTTTATTGCCGTGTATACAAAGTTCAAATTCAATCAGATCTATCAAACTATGCGTGTGCGCGTTGGAGCGCAGAATACATCGTTGGAGGATTTAATGTCGCGTTCGAAACTATTAATATGGATATCTCCTATTAGACGAAGCAATTTAGGTAGAAGAACCGAATGCTATAAACCAAGCTAATTACCGATCTAATCAGCTGCACAAGAACGTGATGACCGAAATTAACTTTAAAGAATTCGGATTCACAAACGCGTGAAGCGCGTGCGCTACATTCAACTAATAATCGCGCAAGTTTGAATCGGATCTGCTTTCAGTTACGATGTGTCAATTGACTACAGTAACTACCAATGTGTTGTTATTGGTTCTATGAACTCGGTTTGCTCATATTGTAGGCATTAAAATAAAAACGAAGCTAATGGATTGTGTTGCGCAATGGTAAAGTGAAAATGATACATTGGATACACCACCAGAGCCATTGTACTCATTGGTTCAGGAATAGGAACAAATTCCATACACTTTTTGACAAAATATCCAACAATATAACAATTGCTTTTAAATGACAAAAAACGAGAATTGCCACATGCACACATTTTGATTTGGTTGGTTGAAAAGATAAGGCAAATGAAGTTGATGCAGTGATATCAGCTGAAATCTCTAGTGTACAAGCAGATCCTGGATGCATGTAGTAGTTATCAAAAATTGATGCATGGTCCCTGTGGAACTCTTAATCAAATTCACCATGTATGATGGTAAATGTTCTAACGATATCCACGGACATTAATATCGAAACAATTACTGGTGAATGGCGGTTTATCCACTGTATCGTGCGACGATCGACAGCAAACAATGGAAGATCAAACAATTGCCAAATAAATCAACACGATATTGAAATAGATAATCGTTGGATATGTTTTCCATATTCACCCATTTTATCAAAGTCCCTCAAAGCACACTTCACGTTGAATCTTGCCCGTTCAGTGAAATCTATTAAATACATTTTCAAATATGTAACCAAAGGGAGTGATATGGCTGTGATTGGGATTGGTGCAGAGAATTCCAATGATGAAGTTACCCAATACCAATGGACCGCTATGTTAGTAGTAATGAAGCAGTAAGGCGAATATTTTCTTTTCCTATTCATGAGCAGACACCTTCTGTGTTCACTTAGCTGTGGACTGAGAAACTGGACAAAGAGGTATTTTACAGCACAGAACGCAGAACAAAGAGCTGCTCAGCCACCATATACTACATTTAACCACTACTACATTAACATATTTTTAGACATGCCAAAATTTGCACAAACATTGCTATATTCTGAAATGCCAAAATATTATACTTTATTCAGTATATATATATATATATATATATATTATATATATATATATATATATATATATATATAAATTCAGTACATCCAAGCAATGATGAATGTTTTTATTTACGACTGCTATTAGTCAATGTACTTGGCTCAACATCAATTCCAACATTTACGAACTGTTGATGAATTGTGTGGATCTTACAGAGAAGCCTGTGAACGTTTGCAATTGCTAGAAATGACGCTCATGGGATCGAACTCTCAATGATGCTGTAATATCATCAACCTCATCAAATGCAACATTGTTTTCTATAATCATATCTACATGCTTCCCATCAAACCCAATTCATTGTGGATCAAGTCAAAGATTATATGTGTGATGATATTTTGTATCAAATACGAAATAGACGGGAAATCCAAATATACCAATCAGTGAAGAAATTTACAACGAAGCATGATTTGAATTAAGGATGTGCTTGATGATGTCAACTATTAGTTCAATTAGGACTGGCCACGCCCAATCGTTTAATGCTGATGCTTTTAACCAAGAATTGAATCGAGAAAAACTGTATGATCTCAAACTTTGAAGAATTAATTTAAACAATTCTTCCCTGTTGAATGAACAACAGAAGTATGTATTTGATACTCTTATGAAAGTAACAAATGATGAAACTGGAGGATTTTACTTCTTAGATGCACCTGGTGGTACAGGAAAATAGTTTTTTGATTTCATTAATATTTAGCAACAATTCGCTCACAAAATAAAATTGCACTTGCACGTGCTTCGTCGGGAATCGCAGAAACGTTGCTTGAGGTGGTCGAACAGCCCATTTCTGCATTAAAATTGCCATTAAATATGCAAAGCAATGAAACTCCGACCTGCAATACTTCGAGAAACTCTGCAATGGCAAGGTTCTTGCAGTAGTGCAAATTAGTTATTTGGGATGAATGCACGATGGCCATAAAAAATCTTTGCAGGCTTTAGACAGGAACCTTAAAGATCTACGGCAATCATACCAATTTGGTGGTGCAATGATTTTATTATCTAGAGATTTGCGTCAAATATTGCCAGTGATCCACGATCAACACCAGCTGTATGAACTCAATGCATGTCTTAAGTCCTCCAATTTGTGGAACATGTCAAAGTATTTCATTTAAGCAAGAATATGCGTGTCGAGTTGAAAAATGACCAATCTGGAAACATATTCTCTAAACAACTTCATTGACATTGGTAATGGCAAATTTCCAATAGACATGTTGACTGGCTGCATTAACATTCCTCAAGTTTTTGTCAGTTAACTCGATCAAAAGATGAACTTAGTCAGAAGTGTTTCCAGATGTTTTCTCAAAATTACAAAACCATGATTGGTTGAGCGAACGAGCTATATTGGCTGCAAAAAATAGATGTAAATGAATTAAATTTAAAAATCAAGAACAAATTACAGGCGAATCGAGGATCATATAAATCAGTTGCTTTGCTACTAACCAAGATGATGTAGTGAACTATCCACCAGAATTTTTAAACTCGGTGGATTTGCCAGGATTGCCACATCACAATCTTCAACTAAAGGTTGGATCGGTAGTTATAATGTTACGAAATATCAACCAACCACGTCTTGCAACGCACACCGTTAGCGATACAAAATGACTAAACAACGTGATAGAAGCAACTATACTGAAAGGAAAGTATAAAGGAGAAGACGTTCCCATACGCGCATCCAATGATTCCGACTGATGTGCCGTTTGACTTTTAAACGACTACAGTTTCCAGTGCGGCTTGCTTTTTGCTATGACCATAAACAAGTCCAGGGGCATCATTAGGTCTTTGTGGTATTAATCTGAAAAACCCATGTTCCTCACATGGTCAATTGTATGTTGCCTGTTCCGTGTTGGAAAACCATCAGATTTGTTGTCTATGCGCCAGGTAATCAAAACGAAAAACATCGTATATCACAAAGCAGTGCAATAAACTGATTTTTGTAATGATTCACATGATAACAATAAAGCGATTACTTACTTTTAAATGCTATATATGTTTTATTTATATATTTCTTATTCACAACGCCGCTATCACCAGGGTGACAGTTCTGTTCAGGAGAATTTTTTGCCCAACTTAAAATATGTAGAACACAAGACTCACATTACAAATCTTTTTGACAAGACGAAGTCTGTCGGTCCGCTAGTTTTTAATAAATCAATCCTACTTTTTTAT